AGTTTTTCCCATGAATTGCTGAACATATAAATTACAAGACCTATTAACTGTTTTTTTTTTTTTTTAATTATAATTTTTCCTGTGTTTTTCTTTTTCCAATACTAATGGGACAATTTTTGTCATTAAGAACATTATAGGCAAGAAACTATGTACCTCTAGACCTAATTGGTTTTAATTCCAAGTAATCAAAAGATATTGCCTTAGTAGCAGCTGGAAAGGAATTGTTTTTTCAGAGCATCTGGTATGAGGCCATGTTTTGGTTCTTTGAGAAAAACAATGTTGATAACACACCAATGTTTTAGTTGATGCTGGGCAGTGTGGTTCAGAGCCAAAGCCATTGTCAGCAAACAATCCATGGAGCTGGGAGGGAATGGAATAGGGACAGCTGACTTAAAGTGGTCAAAGGGTATTCTGTAGTGTGTGACATCACATGGAAAGATTTTGAAGGGGGTGAGAGTTCATCTTGTTCTCTTCCATTCACTGGGGAGCTAGCTGAGCATCAGTCAGGTGGTGGTGGTCAGCAATTACTTGCGCATCACTTACTAGATATGTTTGTGTGTGTATGTATTATATATTCATAACTATTAATCTCTATCTCTGTAAAAAGTTTTAGCTCTGTTCACATGTAGCAGAGATGTTAAGTCAGGGCCTCAAGCAGTGATTGAGCACCTGGTGGGAAGGGGGGGGCCAACCCAGGGGAGCTCAGGTGCATGCAATGTACCTGAATGATTGGAGGTATCCACCCCTTCCCAGATCTCTTTTAAGGGTTGGCAGTGGAGGCGAGGGCATCTCTTGCCGGAGATCCCTGCCTCTGAGATCACCTGATGCCTCTCAGAGGTAAGCAGATCTTTCCCTTCATTTCTGCATCTGTGGCGTCATTTGGACTTGTTTTCATTTACTGCAGCCAAAGACTCTGTCTTTGCTGCTATTGTTGCTGTACTTTCCATCCTGTAATAGCATTACACCATGAGTTCTACTTTAATGGTTTTTTGCAGTTCTCTTCCCTATCCCTCCAGGAAGGTGGGGGATGGAGCACGTAGCTGCCAGGGGGGTTAAACCACAGCTGGTATTTGCAGAAGGGTATTTCAGTGTGTTTATTTCAATGGTCCTAGAAGCAACTCTTAAAAATAGGGAATATTTACTGTGGATGTTGGTGAATCTCCCAGGCAATTACACTGATGCTCTTTAGTTACTGTAACAGTAAAGGCAGTTTGAGCATGATGGCTGTGCAGAAAATGTACCTATAGAGAAAGCACGACAGCACAGAACTGTTACAGTATCTCAAATTTTTCTTTAAAGACAGCAGGTTTATTTTGGAAAAAAACCCTTCAGTTGTTTGCAACTAAAATGAGAAAGATGATCCTTCTGGGTTTTTCTGGTCTGTAACCAGTGAATCAGCTGGCATGAAGCATTATCAGAAACCAAAGATGACTTCATTGAAATTTTTGTTTGCATGAACTTGGCTACAAAGAGTGAGAGTCCCCTCCTTGTTACAAGGAACCACTTGTTAATTGAGCAATATAATTAAACACAGGTGATTTAAAGACAACTTTAAGTAATACTTTCCTAAGTAATGTACTGGCAAGGAAACTCTTAAGAAATGGCAGCTGCATTGTGTATGAAATTTGGTAATGTGATTACAGAGAAACTTGTTAGCAGAAGCTCAAGAAAAAGAGTCTATTAATCTGTTTTCTATTAATGTTTACCCTAATGGTAGTGGGCACACCTGAACACATGGAAAAAAGCATAGAGGGAAACCATGATGGAAAGTAGTGTTAAATCCCAGCATTCCAGCAACGCTGAAATACAGGGACAGAAGTTAAAATACTTCTTACAATCTTAAAATAATATTCTGCAATCCTAGTTCATCTTCATATTGATAACCAAAGCTCAGTGAGTTCTTCAACCTTGCATTTTATAAACAGAACAGACCAACCAAGCATAGAGAAACAAAGCTTTGACACTGCTGTATTACAGTGTAGTAAAAAAATTTAATATGGGAGAAGGGGAAGTAGAAAACTACAGTGATTACATAAGCATTACAAAGCACGATCATTTTACATTTTTTGATGAGTCAAATAAGCATATTTCTATACAAGGTATTATCTTGACCAAGGTTCAGCTTTGATTTCCTTTTGTAGCCAGGATTTTATGCAGCAAACATACCCAAACCAACTTGAAAGCATCTATAGTGTAACAATAGAATAACAGTAATAGCAATATCATAACTAGTATTACAAATCATGAAAAACAGTTAACTTAACTTGTCATTACTGATGATATATTAAATAATTTAACAGTAAAAATTCCTGTTTTTTTTTTAAACATTATCTGATTTAAGTACGGAATCATTTGTTCTGGAGAGATGCCTAAGGGCCATCTAGCCCCACTCTCATCCAGTCGAGCAGGCCACCAACAGCTGGATAGTATCACTCTGTCCGCTCTGGCCTTTCATCATTTGTTCTCCTGGAAGAAACACACAGCCATAGTCTAATGTATACAGTGGTCCTGTCACTTATAAAAAAAACTGGAAAAACAATCATTGCACAAAGTTGTGACAAAAATTAATTCTCCTTGTATTCACTGGTGCTGAGAGGTGCAGTTGCCAGCCATTCTGCTACTTTTCAGTGTTTCAAAAGGGTTTGTGCTTTGGGAGTTAAGCTCATGGAGTGATAGCAAGCTGTGACAGCTATGAGACCACTCTTGAATAACTTCGGTTTTTGGAGTAAGACCAGTCAGGAGCCCAACAGGTTGAAGTACTTCACAAGACATCTGTTTTCTGTAGCAAACTCTGGAAGTAGTAGTGATAAAATCTACAGTTGAGAAAGTACTTGCAGCAGGGGCTCTTGGCATAGAAGGAAGGCTCTCTTTGCTGTTGTAGCTTTAGGAAGTCAGAAACTAATCAAATGCATATACAGGAACTTGCTTTTACAACAAAATGATCACCTACTTGTTTAAAAAGGGAATGTAACTGGGAGAAAACACCTCTCCTCAGGCAATTATTTAAGTGCTGAGCAGCACCAGCCCTCTTTCACGTAACACAGTGAAAGAAGCCGCTGAGATGACAGTCATAGCACTTCCTTTTCCCAGAAAAGGAATCCTG